GGGCCTCTCTGGGTCGAGCCTGGCTGCCCCGTGGGCAGCCGCAGGGCTTGTGGCAACCACGGCCTCATTGGCCTCGGACGCGGGGGAGGAGGTGAACGAGGAGCACGTTTTCGGATTGATATCTCCTCCTCCTCCTCCTCCTCCTCCTCCTCCTCCTCCTCAGCTCTGCGCCGCCTCAAGCTGTGTGCGTTCAGAGAACGCAGCAAAGCCCCAGGACAGCGAAGCATCGACAGTGCATCTCAGCATCAACGCAGGGGATGAGCACGATCTCGAGAACGGCAGGGAGGACCCCAACAAAACACCAACGAGAGGGTGGGATCGATGCTTCGATGGGCGTTCTCCTCGAGAGGGCGGCCCCTGCGCAACTGGGACTGCATAACCCTGCTGGCCTGGTTCGGTGGGGGCTTGCTGCCCGCTGCCCCACAAGGCAAAGAGTAAGACGACGAAAGCGAGGACGAGGACGAGGATGCGGCGGGACGAGCCGGTGGACGAGGACGAGCGCGATGGTGAAGACCGCGAGGGCGACACGACGACGATCACGATCAGGAGGAAGCGGACGAGCACGCCTGGGCCCAACTCTCATCCCCCCCTCCGGATAAGGAGCGGCAGGAGCGAAGAGCAGGAGCTGCAGCAAGACAACGTCTTAACCGCCAGCGCGCCAAAGGTATTCCGCATCTTCGCGGCTCTGCACGCACGTCGCGCACGGCACAAAACGTGGTTTCCCCTCCTCTCCCTCCTCCAGCCTCCTCGTCCTCACACTTGCACTTCCAATGCTTGGGATACTTGAGGTTTTGGGGGGACCTGTGGAGGACTCCGACGTGTCTGGGAACCTCTGGAGCCCTTCGGAGACCTCGGGGGGGTCACAGGCAGCTCGCGCACACACGTCCCAACCCCTCAATGCGGATTCCTTCGCCGCGCTTCTGCAATCAGCTAGAACCGAAGCGTAACTTGAGAGGAGCAGGAGGAGGAGCAGGAAGAGGTGGGCGCCGACTGGAGAGCGTCCACAGGGTAACGGACGCTCGCAGGCTGAGGCTAGTGCTGCCGCCATGGGCAGCAGCGGGCATCGGCCGAGACCACGGAACCACGGAAAACCCGTCGTCGTCGACGCCGAGGCCATCAATTAGTCAGAGTCGTCAGAACTCCCGAAAGAGGAGGAGGAGGAGCAGGAGGAGGAGGGAGGAGGAGGAGGAGGAGGAGGAGGAGGAGGAGGAGGAGGAGGAGGTGAATTGAAAGGAAGCTGCACTGCGACTGCAGAGGAAACGGTGGGCACCCGCCGTGGGAGAGACCGCGCCAACCTCCCGGGGACACCATCGAGATCTCGCTCCAAGAAGCAGGTGCGGGCGCAGCTCGGGCAGCCCCTCCCAGCACCGCCTGCGCAGGCAAGGAGAGTCGGGTGTTGCTAGAAGTGCCCCTGGCCCAAGGTGCCCCCAGGACTTCCACGAAGGCCCAACACGGCCTTCGGAGCACCCCTCACGAGGCCAAGAGGGCGCGAGGGGCTCCATAATTGCGCGAGAAGTGCGGGGCCCCAATATAGACACCACCACCAGGCGGCCGTAGGAAAGGACAACATCCTGAGCCCGACCGCCCTGACAGGTGTGCCACTGCCTGCCCTCCCCAATCGCAAGTACTTGCCACGTGGTCATGCGCGCAGATGGGGGCACCTTGGGCCAAGGGCACTTTTGGCAACCCGTCTGTGAGAGAAAGAGGGAGAGAGAGCGAGAGGGAGAGAGAGAGAGAGAAGGGGAGAAAGAGAGCCCTCGCCGGCACCTCGCAGCGCCGCGGGGCGGCGTGGCGCCTCACCGACGGGGCGCTCCGCCTCGCCGCTCTGCACCCGCACCTCCTGTGTGCCGCTGCTCTTCGGCCGCCGCCTGCGGAGCCCGCCGGGGGGAGGGAGGAGCCGCAGCGGCCGGAGGGCGCACCGCGGCCGGGTGGCAGCGCCGTGGCGGGCGCGCGCGGCATGCGGCGAGAGAAGTGCTCGTGGGCCATCAGCCCCACGCCCGCTCGGGGGGGATCTGCGAGGGACAGGAGGGGGCGCGATGAGGAAGGAGACCAGGAGAACAGAGAGCCTTGCGATAAGTTTCAATTCGGACGACGCTCTCTCTGAGCAGGACCGAGTCCGTTTCCTCGGCAACATAATGGCCGACACTCTTGCCAAAGAGGCCGCGGGGAAACATGCCTTGGATCACACCACCCGTTCAGACACAACGAAGGCTCTCGATGAGTTTCTGGAGCGTTTGATTGGTGCTGGGAGAGTGCTGGCCAGCTGGCCTCCTGCACGGGAGTACTTTGGTCCCCTGTCCAAGGTCCCGCGGCCCCCCCTCCTTCCCGCCCCTTTGTCTCATCCCACACCACTACCTGGAAAGGCAAGGCTATCGTTGCACCACGTGTCTAAGACGCCTCGCCCCTCACTCCAGGAGGCAGTGCTCTCAGGAATACCCTCAGTCCATCACGGATGCCATCAACCAGCGCCGAGCCATTCACCATTCCCTCGATATGGGATGGATTGACGGGAGCGGCATGCCAACGATAGATTATTGCGCTCTCTGTGGTGTTGACAACATGACAAAGGGCACCAAGCTCCAACAGCCCTGCCTCAGTGAAGACCACCGCAAACGTCAACACGAGAGGGGTTATCTGGCACCCGGGCCCCCACGGGTCAGAAGCGAGCTCCACAAGCTCCAACGGGGCGAAGCGCCTGCGACCACCCTCACGTTCTCCAGAGCCACCCACTTGGGGTGACTAAGAACGGTCTGGACGTCCGAATTTCGTGACATGTTCGTTACACTTGCGGGCCGAATTTCGTGATATCTGCGTTGCGTGCTGGCGCGCCGAGGGAAGGAGTCGGTGCGCCAGCCACATGGCACACGTGCAGCTGCAGCCGGCCGCGCGCGCTCTCCCGCCCGACTGTCCGCAGCCGGGCTGCTACTACAAGGAAGGCCAGATAAGGAAGGGAAGCCCGTTTCTGGCACCAGAAAAGCCTGGGTGCACGGGGAGGGCCAGAGGAACCACCGCGGAATGACCTGAGGAAGAGCGGGCCCCCGCCGGACCCGAAGCGGTCCTTGCTTCAGCGCCCTGGCTGTGCGCCGCGCCGCCGAGCGCGTGGCCGCAACGCCAGCAAGGGAGGGAGCGAGGACGCCGCGGGGTGCCGCGCGGCGGCTGGGGTCCGCGCGCGCTCCCCGCGGGCGGCGGCGCGGGCGGCCGTCCGCGGAGGTCGGGCCGAGGGCGCCCCGCCTGCGGCCGCATCTGCTGAACACCTGGCGCGGGCGGCGGCGGCGCATGCCGCTGGCGTGAGGAGGTAACTGCCTGGGGGTGGGACGCTGAAGGATACGCAGTCCGACCCAGGGCAGGAAAACATCCTTCGAGAGCATGAGACCCTCCGCCAGCCAAAAACTCCAGTACATTCGAGGGTACCCTCCCCCAGGATGCACCAGAACATCCAACAAACATGAAGAACATGTGGGTACCCTCCCCGAACCGACCTCGATCTCACACCCCGGTCCGACTGTACTAGTGCTACGCGTCCTCCTTAGAGACCAAAGCCGTTGTTTCCCCCTTTTCGAAGTTCTCACCTTTTCGGTTCTCCGACCGCCTAAGACGGCCCAGCGGGCCTCCAAGAAAGGTCCAAAACAACCCATGAGACCCCCACTAGGGCCCCGAGTTGCCCTAAGAGAACCCCAAGATCGCCCAAGAGGCCCCCAAGAGGGCCCCAAGAGGGCACCAACACGGCCCAAAGAAGCCCCCACAACGGCCTCCGAATGCGCGAGACGGGCCGATCGCATCCCAAAGATGGCCCCAGAATCCTCGAGAACCCCCCAGAGGATTCAGGAGGCCCCCAAGAGATCCCCAAGAGGCTCTCCAGGAGACTCCAAGGAGGCCCCCAGTAGGCCTCAAGAGGTTTTTTCCTCCTCGTCCTCATTTTCTCATCCTCCTCCTTTTTCTTCTCGTGCTTCGTATCATTATTATGGTGTTGCTGCTTATGTGCCTGCTTAGTTGTATCGGTATGTGTCGCCCTGCTGCTGCTACTGTGCTTATGAATCGTCTTGCTCTTATGATTGCTCCATCGCTTCCCTATTGTGATTCGTATTCCTGCTATTTTTTCTTATTATTGTCCGCCTTATTATTACAATGCTTTTTGGTCCTCCTCCTCCTTTTCCTTATTTTTCTCCTCCATACCCCGCCGACGAAGACGATGTCGGGATCTCAATTCAGACCACTCACTGAACTGCCGCGGGGTGCGAACTCGACCTCCTCCATACCGCGCGGACGAAGACGAGGTCGAGTTCACGACCCGTCCATACTACGCCGTTACAAAAGTTCGTCACATTTCATGAGAGCTTGAAGGTGGCATGGGTTTCGTGTCTTCTTTCCGCGTGGGCAAGCGGGCAGAGGCTGACCACTGCCCTGGCCGCGCCGAGCTGGCCCCCCCTTTCCCCCCTAGAAACCTAGCGGTGTGAGTCAAGAGCGGTCGGATCAAAGATCCGGGATTTTTAAAAGTGGGATTTCATCCCTTACTATAATAATATAGATTTAAAACGGGACATTTTGAAATCCCGACGTAAATTCACACGGCTCTAGAAATCCCACCGGGGCGGGATTTGTCTTTGCTTATGCAAGATGATCGACTTTTATTTTATGACGAAACTTTTGTAACGCCGATGTATCAGACCACTCGTCGAAATTGCGCTGCTCCTACACTCAGCCTCCTTCCTGCTGCGCAATTGCATCGGCACGGCGGCGGGGCTTGCCGCAGGCAGCTTGGTAGTAGATCGTTACCCCACCAGTATAAACAAAAGGCGCCCGCCACCGAACATCGACTATACAATCTCTGAAAGCGTGAATATAAAGTGGATTGGGAGACCCATCCAGATACTACGCCTTACGCGTAGTATACGTCCACCCTCGTTGCATCGAATTAACGATAAAGCAAGAGGTATGAGAACGCCGCGTGAGCGGCAAGGGGACATCTCAAAAGATTGATTTCCGTATCGATGTTAGATAGCGGGCCGCGGTGCGACCCAGTCAAATTGACGGCCGGTCGCTTGAGAACAAGCGGCCGCGGACAAAAGCTCGATACCTCTCGCATTTGCCCTTCCTTCTTCAGAGACGGGGGGGGAGAGGGCGAAACGTGAGTCCGCGCCCGGCCTAACTCGGCAAAGCGGCTATGTTACAAACGAAAAAACAGCAGCCAGCGGGCTCAACCTTAGCAGGTTACCCCGCTGCTCGTTACTCCTCGGGCGGCTCAGATGGTTCCGTCTGGCCAACCCTGTAGGGAGTGCGTCGCTTCAAATCGTGCTTGAAGGATTGCATTCCTTCCAAAACTTATAAAAGCATATCTCGGCCAATGTTCCCCTCGGTGTGACCATCTGCAGTCATGCCGCGGGTGTCACACCAGCGCGCGCTATGCACGATACCTTACCTCATCTAACTGATGTGGCCCAAGAGGGTACACTCTGTCGGCATATTCCAGTCTTTGCTTGACAAGGACTTGAAGACATAGTCCGTATCAGCGGTCAGTGTGACCTTAATACTGAGTCCGCCCATCTCAATAACATAATTGCGTGAATGTCAGCGGCCCTGCGTAGAGTTCATGTCGCGCAACAGTCGTGGGATGCAGTCCTCCAAATTATGGGCTGCTGCTGGAGCTTGAGCGATCTTGGTAAAACGGACCTGCCAGCGGTGAGAATTGCAGTGCGCGCCGACAAGATGGACGACAGGCTTACCTGCAGGCGTGTGTCCACGCCTTAGCAGGTTCGCCCCGCGAATGCCATAACATTCGACCTCGTCATCGGCATCGCCGTTCAGGCGGCAGTTGCCGGAATCGCTATGCAGATATACCTCGCCCGTTGGTGTCATCGCTTTCTAAACGATCGTTTTAAGGCGGGCCTGCAGCTTCCTGGTAACCGCGCGGAGTCGCCGAACTTGCATGCTGGTCGGTTCTTGGACACGCTGTAACGATATATCATATACCGTTAACCAGATTTGCATGATAAGGGCGCAAGCCAGAGCGCCTGAGAGGCTAACAAACATCTCAGCGACCAAGACCAATGCTGTGGCTTCAGCACTTGAGCACCTGCGCGCGTGAGTTCGCGGTGCTGGATAGGACGGAGCTGTTTTATGGATTCGTCTTGGCCAAGAGTAACATTACCGTCGCTGTCCTTTTCATACCTCACAGCACACTTGGTATATGTATGTTCGTTGAGTTTACAACTCCCAAAGGTATCCTCAACGCGCACTACGCATGTGCCAATGGTGTCCCCAGTACCAGCCATGTTGATCTCATCAACAGGTTTGGCAGTGAGAAGGTCAGGGCTCGTCTCGAACGCCTCGTCGTAAGACGTGGGTCTCAGTTCTCAGCCTCTCGTGGCCTTCTTGAGTTGCAGTGAGAAGGCTCTTGATGCGTCTTCGGTGCTGGTGCCTGGCTTAAGGCACTGTGGACAGTGTCTTGACTCATCATAGTTCTCAAATCCTGGGGGCGATCTGAGCGCTGATGCTGAGCCAGGTAGCCGGGTGAAGCACGCCGCGCGTTCCCTGTCACCGGTCGCTTCAGCGAGCTCTTGATATGTGAGTCCCTTCAAAAAGGCCATGTTGATGTCAAGGGAAGCAATGATCCACTGCTTCCTGCACGCTGCCGCGCTGGCGAACAATCGCCGGCTTTACCGCCGCGCCGTTTCTGAGGACGTCTCTACATCGAGGGCTTCGAGGTCCACGAACCCCTGAAGTACCGGGCGCAAGGCGGCGGTACGTTCCATTTCGCCCTTCTCCTTCTTAACGAATTTCCATGTGCATCCGCATCTCGAAGTCACGATGTCTGACGCCTTGGATATGTCTTGTACCTTGAAACACTTGTTGTCAAGCGATGTCTCGAGTTCAGTATATAGGGCTTTCGATGCCTTGACTGGATTCGCCTGAATATCTGCCTTCGCGAGGAGGTCGCCCTCCTTGACGACCGAAGCTTGGTTGGCTGCAGCGGCCGCATATACTCGCATCGTGGTAACGCGGTCGAAGTCAAGCATGCTACGTTGCTGTTCGGATAAGACTACATTCGACACCTCTGCCGTAAAGAAGAGCTCCACATAATGTCCGTGCTCGTCGGAATCTAATCCATTCTTGTCATCTTCGTCAGCGGGACACACTGGGACATGACATGTTTCGGTTGACTGTATATGTCCTGTGGGTTACCCCGCGTAGGCAAGTGCCCTTGCTGTTCTTCAACTACTGTGACCAGGACGCTGTTGTCAGTTATCATCTGCGTGGGCGCAGTAGAATTACTATACTGGAGTCGCTTCCAGCAATTTCCTTTCGTCTTCGTCCTTGATTTGCGCAACACACCGCTTCCCTAATATGCGCCCCGAAGTCCGCCCGTGCTTCCCCGTAGATTGTGGGAAGCCAGTCGTTTTCCTGCGGCGGTTCGGCTTCTGGGGCCTCCCTGGCATCACTGCCTTGCGTTGGCATGTCTGCCAACTCTTCGAACTTCGCCATGTCTCGATCGAAGCCCGCTGGTGGTTTTGCGGACTTCAGGCGCTGAGTGATTCTAGAGTGCGCCGATCCAATTTCATCTTGGATTTTCAGGGCAGCGCCTGGAGATTCAGAATCGTGGAACCCTGGGTTCACGTCGTTGTCATAGTGCGCCAGCACACAACTGCCAGCACACATTACCCAGCAGAAACAACGTTTTCGATGCGGGGGAAATTTCTGATACGATACTGGAGAGCTAAGTGAACCTTTGGAGATAACCGGCTCGCACTCGCCATCTGAAGTACTCCCTCTTCGGTCGGGAGTTAGCCGAAGGACGTAGCAGACCCCCCCGCAGACAGACTGGCTACGAAGGCCAAGGCAGCCCGTGGGGCTGCGTTGTCCGAGCAAATTCCTCGACTGATCAGAGCTTCAATATACAGGGAGCGTCTTGCATCACCGCACTGCACTTGCACATCGCGATTCCCAACTCGCACGATAACTTGAAAGCTCTCGGTGTCGTTCCGCACGGCCAGGAATGTCCCATTCCAACCACCCAAGTCGTCTGTCATGGTTGTGGGGCGATGGTAGTCAACAAGATCACATTGTAGTAATGATGGCCAATGATGGTCGCCCTGGGTCGTAGTGCACGATTTGCCTTTGCTATTGCGGTGGCTTGTGTGATAGCCCACATGCTTACGCGACGACTAGTCTGTTCCCGATTGCGATCGGATGCATCCGTCTGCTGTTCGTGATCTAGAACAGGCAGGCCAGGAAGCATGGCTGGTTGTCGGCCAAATCG